CTCTCCCCGATCCAGATGGGATCGAGAGGAGAGGGGGGGGAGAGGGAGTGGCGTCGTGGGGAGGGGAAGTGGGTGACGGGGTGGTTAGGGTTTCGGGGGGGAATGGATAAGGGGAGGGGGGTGGCCGGTTGGGTCTGCGCCCGAATGGGCCGGCCAACTAGGCCAGTAGGCCGTGGGAGGGGTTCCCTCTTTTTTTTTGTTTTGTTAGTTTCTTTCTTTTATTTATTTTCCTTTTCTGTTTTTATTTATTTTAAAATACTTAGGCAGTTTATAAAATTGTGTTTATTACACCATATTGACTTATGTAAAATATGGCATCTCCCGAACACTTTTGTTTTAAATTTTGAAAAACTTTTATTGTTTGCTTTGATTTTGAAATTTGAATTCGAACGGGATTGAATCATCGCGAGGTTTACAACAGTAAGAGTGGTGATGAGGCATCATTAGCAAAGGTTACTGTAGCTTGATTATCCGGGCGTCATATGCTTAACTTATCTGGACACCGCTTTAGTCATAGTTAGCTAGGTTGTTTAGTTGTGTGTGTGCCCATTGATATCCTTTCATGCCCATCATTCAAATTGGAAGGAAATGTGTTATTGACACCGACACCATTCTGCTTTGTAGGTTTGTGCGAGAAGCGGTTTCTGATAGCAGTCTACCTGAAGGAGGGGTTGCAAAGGTTGAGTGATGTTTCCACAAGGGGCTGTTGAATTATCGACAAATGTCCACTTATGGAAACACCGACAAAGACATTGTGAACTCAAGCTTTCTTGGGAGCGTGGACAATAGCATGCATCTGAAGAACCGATGAACCATTTGGTATGCATGCATTGTACGGAACTGACAGTTACAACATGGCGAGTTAAATGAGAGATGGATTATAGGTTTTTCCTTGGTATAACAGAACATTTAGCAAACTGAAGTATGTGCAGTTGCTAGCTCATTACAGTTTTGGTATATGACCTGTGTGATTTCAATGTTGCAAGAATTTGTCTTCTACATCTACATTTTGATATAAAAACAGGCACCGTGTACACCTCTACAGATCACAAGATTGGTGCAAATGTTTCATTGCTTCATCTGTGAAACACCGATTCCTCCTTGAACTGTAGCTGTTTGTGTTGTTACATGGAAATGAACCTGGTTATTTTTAACTCCTTAAACTGAAATGTACATCACTTGCATTACTATGGTCCAAGGTAAATCTGAAAGTACAGTTACAAACTTGAACTTATAAATACTTTAAAGTCTTGCACAATTCTTGACCTCGGGACCTTTGGTACAAAAAGAATGGAGTCTATCTGCAGACCAGTGTCCCAACGTGAAGTTACAGTGAGAAGATTTGGACCATATCCAGATACAATTTTACAATATCTGCTATCTAGTTTCATGGTCGATCTGCAATTTTGGAAGGTAAAACCCTCCAAAGAATCAGATCATTTTAATTGTAACTGAAATGTCCATTGCTTCATTACTTGGGTTGGAAAGTTGGCTTCCAACCCTACTATCTGCCTACTAAATTGAATCCTGTATAATGCCATCCGCCGTCTAAGAGACAAAATTCTCACGCCCTTGAGTACTTTGAGCTCCACATCGGTACCTTCAAAGGCTCATCGTCATCACCTCCATTTTCAACTTTGCTCAAAGAATCAGAGATCAAAGGTGCCGAGTCACCTTCTTTTGACTGCAATATAGAGAACGCATAGGGATTTATAAACAAGAAATAAAAGTAATGAAGCTAAAGAACCACAGGAGAATTGTTGCAAATAAAATATTAAATATTTACAAGGCATGAGATTTGAAAAGCAAGGTACCTGCTGTGCGGAGACATCGGTATTTTTTGGTTGAGTCTCTGTTGAGCAGAAGTATGAATATAGTACCATCCCAACAACCGCAATTAGGATGCCAAGTATGTTTCTCCAGCTAAACGGATCATGAAGCAAAACGTAGCCGAAGGTCAAAACTAGGCATGTTTTAAGATGGCCCAGGACTTGGTAAGTAACAGGAGATGTCTTTCCGATCACAAGAAAGGTGCTGAAGTTTACTGAGACCGATATCAAACACGACAAGACGATGAAAAACTGCACATGGAACAAGAGGAGAATCAGAAACAGATTAACAATGTCAAAAGAAGTTTGCCAAAGCTGCTTCATGACTTACCACAACGTTAGATGTGTAATTGAAAGCAAAGACGTTTTGGTTAGTCAGGAATCCATCAAGGAACGGGCCGATAAGAAACAGTGTCAATGACTGGTAAGGACAAGACTGATATAGCAGCTGGGTTGAAGAAACCTTGAATTTCTTCTGAATAGTGTTTGTCATCTGGTAGCTGGTTAAGGACTACAAGACCACACAACAAAAACGGTGGTAATACGTGAATGTAACAGAGTAGTAATAAACAGTCATCACGTCAAGTGCAAATTCTTCATTCTGGAACCAGATGCAAATTCCACTTTCTGACCAAAAAGGATGCCAGGAAATTTCGATTTGGCCAAGAAAAGGCAAAAGCTGTCATCAAAGGATACGATTTGAGCGATGCAAGTCGTGATAATGGCCAGCAAGGACAGTATGGACCCCACAGCATTGAGTTGCAAATCAGTCATGGTTGCAACACCGACACCCAAAAGAAGCACGGAAAGGGAGATCTGGATAGTCCGGCTGCAGTCAAGTCAGAAAATGTTTAGATGAAGATGGTATGGAAGTAATGAACAGAATGTAAAAAAACACAAACCTGAACTTCTTCCTGAAGAAAAGAGTCTCCAAAATAACAGTGCAGGGGATGATGGCCAGCTTTGTCATCTAGACGTAAAAGGACAATTCAGCACCAGTTAGGTGGATTGATTAGTGCAGAAGGAAGGGTGACATTTAATAGCAATCAATGCTTGTACAAAATGTTCAACTCTAGCCAAAAGCCTTCTTGGTAAAGTTTCTTGCACAAACAAGGTAGATATAATTAACCTGCACCCTAACTCGCCAAGTAACTATTGTCGTACCGCGTAGCGGAAGTAAAGTTTGTTACATTTTTACTGTGATGATGATTTTTACTGTTAATACCAAATGTAGTAAGTGCAGAACTGGAGTGAATTAACTATGGAATCCTGACAATGGTACGAGAATAAATGTAAAAAGATCACATAATGTGCAGTACCTGGTAAAAGCCAACAGAATTGAAACCAAGACTCAGATTGAGGAGCCCAATGGAGATGCCATTGAGTACTCCGAATCCCATGACAGTTCTCGAATCAAAAGCCTTGTGCTCGAAAAACTTCATCCATAGTGCCACATGAAGGGAGCAGAAAGTGACCAGGAGATGCCAGCTCGTCAAGGTGGTAGCTGCAAAACACAATTCCATGTCGTAGGATATCAGTATTAATAATTTCACTGGTATCTCATATTCTCATTCACTCTTCAGCACAAGCTCTCTCTATTCTATTCACAAGGACATAAGCAACATTCAGAAATAAGAAATAAAAATGTACCAAGTCAAAGCTAACAAGTTCTTGAACATCACATGTACATACACTCCAGGCAGCACAAACAAACAGAGATACTACTCCCATCTGTCAAGCTACCGAAGCAGCAAGCAACCAGGACATGCTACACAACCTTTTTTTAGCGGTAGCTACACAACCTCGTTCGTTACGAAAAATAATCAAAGCTTTCACAGTAAGTACGCTAGCTCCAAGAGACCAGTCACTCTATCATTTTACACTCATGCTCTCCTGATTTCTACAGTATGCTGCGACGAATCACAATATATACAGTAGTTATCAAACACACCAAATTCAATTGGCAGCTACCACATAAGCTGAAAAGCATCTGGTGTTAATAATCTGAACCGAGCATGTGCACAACCGAAGAACGGAGCACGCATAGATAGATCTAGCAAAATCACAGAGCACCAAGCACGAACACGTAACGTAACGAATCAAGAAGCTGGGAAGCAAGAAACAGTTAGATCTCACACCGAAGGTGAAGCCGAGGGAGCTCATGAGGGCCTTGTTGCAGATGACAATGGACACGGAGGACACCACGGAGAGGCCCAGCGCCCCCACCGTCCCCAGCTGGAACTTCTCCCCTCCGACGCCCATCTCCGCTGCCACCACCCTCCAGACAACAGCACCAACAAAAAAGATCAAGCCTTCCCGATCAGACCGACCGGACCACGCCGCCGGGAGCACCTGCAGGCAAGAGAGATGCCATTTCGATCAGCCAATCGAAGCAGCGAGCGCTCTGCCAAGAAACGGACGGGAGGGGTCGAAACATACCGCGCGCCGCGTCGGTGGATCTGGGCGAATCCGGCCGGGGAGCGGGCAATGTCGGGGAGATCTGCGGAGGGGCGGGCGGGCGGGATCGGCGGCGGTGCGGGGATGGGATGGGATTCGCGGTGGCGCTCCTGCCCCTCTTGCTTTGGCCTTGCGAATCAGGGGCGGGGAGGGAGACGAGGTATTTTTATATGGATGGCCGCCTCGTCGGTGAGATTGGCGATTAAAGGAAGCGGCAATTAGGTATGGTTGTCCACGTCGCTTGCCGCATGGGAACTATTGACTCTGCACTGAATACCTGCTGAATTTGCTAAAAACTTCAAACAGGGTCCACCTTCCTCTTGTCTCAATTTGCCAAATTTGCCTTTTTGTAGCCATAGTTGTTGCAAAGTTTTTTTCTTTTTTTTTCGACGGCTGCCATGTGTACATTCAATCGAGCGTCAAGGTACAACACGCGCCACGCATGCTGTAGAACATACTCGAACCGACGAGAGGGGGCACATGTCCTGGCACGGACAAGAAACACATCTCACGTAATAGAAAATCACAACAAGGTCCCTGGGGAGGGGGCGGTTGCTGCCGTCCTTCATCGCCGCTGAAGGGAGAAGAGACAAGCTCCTTCAGCCAAAGAACTGTCGGTGCTCCGTCACATCAAAGCTTTGAGAATCGATGAAGAAAACTATCGTGAACGAGTAGCACATATCATTGTAACGTGTCGTCCTAGGAACCCCGTCCATCGGATCTACCTTCCCCGCACAATGTCGTCGAGGGACCACTGGATCCCGCCATCATTCCACCCACAAACCCTTCACGAGAGCAGGCAACGCCTCTTTGTAAGCCAACATTGCCGATGGAGGTGTCGAGCACCGGACTACTCCTATACATCTTCTTTGAAGCTCCACAACGACACTAGAGTACACATTACCTCGATAGGCGAGTTGGAGGAAAAAGCTCTAGGTCATCTCTGTCGCCACGTTGACCCCTCTCGGAGAAACATCATCATGGATTCGTCGACGATGGTGGAATCTGGCATGTTGGTCAAGGATTTGGAGACACCTTATTCGGTGGTGTTGTCATCACTACCGAAGCCGAAGATGAACCGATTAAAATCTACCAACGAAGATAACCTACAACTGTAGAAGAACAAACCGGGTGGGGGGTCCCCCCCTCCACCCATGATTATGAGGTCATGAACAGAGGGGGTTCATCTAAGTCGACGCGTGAAAATCTGTTGTTGAACGCAAAACATGTGACCCCTCTTTCCTCAGAGGGAAAAGACGATATTTTTCCTACCTAAAGGTCTTTTTTTTTACGAAAGCTGACGGAGCAGCTTTTCTTTTCAATTATAGGAAGAAAGGTGTTACAGGTATTGTGGCCTGCACAAGTGCTAGGCCGAGAATAGGAACAAAGTAACATCAGACATCATAACAACTATACATAAGTGCCCAAGTCAGTCCGGCTCACGTGGTCTGTCTAGAATCTGCTGAATCCTGTGACGCCCAGCCTGGTTCCATAGCATAAACTCATCCATCATCGAGCTGAACACTCTGCTAACAGTGGACGCCTTGTTTTGGAAAATCCGAGCGTTCCTCTCGCGCCAAGTGAACCACCAGATGGCCACCGCAAGACCACCCCAGCCCCTTGAGTTGGGCAGATTAATGCTCACCACGTTGGACTCCCACCATTCAGCGAGGCTGGAGGTTGCCCCTGTCGGTGCAAGTGTTGTGGGAAGGTTGCAGTGGTTCAGCATCAAACTCCATAGTGCTTGGGTGAAGGAGCAGCGTGCCAGGAGGTGATCGGCACACTCGTCCGCTGCCCTGCAGAGACAACAGATCGGGTCGTGTGGCCATCCTCTCTTACGTAGGTTGTCCGCTGTAAGGCATTTGCCCAGGATCGCTAGCCAAGCAAAAATTCTACATTTTAGTGGAGCATCTGCTGCCCAAATGTGCCGCTGGCCGGCGAGGCGAATGCACCCCTTGAATTGCACGGCATATGCAGTGGCGGAAGAGTAAGCACCGCTCGGCGTCCATCTCCAGATCACCGAATCCGGAGTTCCCTGCAGTAGGCGCACATCGGCAACCATCTCCCAAAGCCTTGTGAATTGGACAATGGATGTTGGTGCAAGAGGGTGACGCAGGTGTCTAATCCAATGGCCATCATGAAGGGCTTGAGCCACAATGAGGTTCTTGCGAGTGCAGCAAGCAAATAGGTTAGGCCCCGCGCAACTCAGAGCAACCCCATTGAGCCAAGGATCTAACCAGAACTTAATCCTTTCTCCATTTCCGAGGTTGAACTTGACAGACGCGTTGAAGAGGTTGCTAAGATTCTTGTCGATTGTCATGGGTAGGAATGCCCATGGCTTGTCCGGCTCGTTCCAGGATTGCCAAAGCCAGCGAAGGCGTAGAGCTAGGCCTTGAGCTTGCAGGTTGGGGATCCCAAGTCCCCCATAAATCTTCGGCCAGCACACAAGCTTCCAGCTTACCAAGCATTTGCCCCCAACGGCAGCTTCCTTGCTCTCCCAAAGAAAGCCTCTTCGGAGTTTGTCAACAATTTTATGTAGCCAAATCGGTTGTGACAGGGCAATCATTTGGAAAACCACCATCGCAGACAAGATTTGCTTGACAAGTATAAGGCGCCCATCCAGACCCATGAGTCCAAGCTTCCAGCAACGAACTTTAGCCAGTATCTTGTCAATATATTCCTCATAATCAACCATCTTCAGCCTAGAGTCAGAAAGTGGCATTCTGAGGTACTTGCAGGGGAAGTTTTTGCATGCACCCATTGAGGTACCCATAATCAGAGCCAGATCAAAGCCCTCACAGCGAATTGGGGTGAAAGAGCTCTTCTGGAAGTTGGTGTGTAACCCGGTCGCATTGCCAAAGAGTTGCAACAGTTGCTTGATGGATGCAATTTCAGAAGGCTCCGGATTGATGAAGATCACAACATCATCATCATCTGCATAGAGTGAGGTTCGGAAAGGCATGCGAGATCGCCCTATAGGCTTGAGCACCCCGGCCTCGACGGCGGCATTAATGAGGGCAGCAAGGCAGTCCATCACAATGACGAAAAGCAGCGGCGATATAGGGTCTCCCTGCCGGAGACCCTGCTGATGGTGAATTGAGTCCGTGAGAACCCCATTGACAAGCACTCTGGAAGTGGCAGTAGACAACATGATAGAGATCCAGTCACAGAACTTGGTGCCAAAGCCCTTGGCCTCGAGAGCCTGCAACAGCAACTCCCAAGAGACCGAATCGAAAGCCTTTTCAATGTCCAGCTTCAACATCATGGCCGGCGTCTTTGATTGTTTGAACATCTTGGCAAGGCACTGAACATACTTAAAATTATCATGAATTGTGCGACCCTTGATGAAGGCACTCTGGCAAGGTTGAACAAGGTCGTTCATCCTACATCTTAATCTCGAGGCAAGGATCTTCATGAAAAGTTTGCTAATGAAGTTGACCAAGCTGATCGGCCTAAAATCTCTAGGGGTTGATGCTTCAGGGCTCTTCGGGAGGAGCACAATGGTGGCTGAATTGAGCAGATGAAGCTTTCTGGCGTTTAGGCACTCGATCTCTCTGATAGCCGCCATGATGTCCAACTTGATCGTGTCCCAACAGCTTTGGAAGAAAAGTGCAGAGAAACCGTCAGGGCCCGAAGACTTGCTCGGGTCAAGGTCGAACAACACAGACTTGACCTCATCTTCTAAGATAGGCCTCTCTAGCTCCGAGAGCTCGGCTGCGGTTATTCCAATATTCTGCAGGTTCAGTGTGCTTGTCCTGACACGTTTGTGCCCAAGAAGTTTCGAGAAGAAAACGAACATGGCCTGATCTTTGCCAACTTGGCTGGTAACTGGCACCCCATCAACAGTGAGGCGGTGGATAAAGCTCTTTCTTCTTCTAGTAGTCGCCTTGGCCTGAAAGAATCTCGAAGTTGCATCCCCCTCTTGAATTCGGGTGATCCTGGACCGTTGCCTCCACATAGAGCGTTGCAGCGCAACGATTCCGAGACAATTAACCTTGAGCATCGCCCTGAATTGCCTCTCATCGTCCGATAGCATGCGCTTGTCCATGGCTTGGTCCAGCATAAAAATCAGCTCGCTAGAGACCGCCGCTCTTAAATGCAGATCGCCAATCATACAAGAATTCCATTTACGAAGAGCTCGGCCTGTGGAAATAAGCTTCATGTGCAACCTGGAGCACACATCATTACAATTTGGAATCTTCTGCCAAGACTCAAGAACAGTCTGATGGAACCCCTCCAAGCGGACCCAGTGGTTCTCAAATCTGAATCTTCGAAATGGCTTGAAATCAACATCACATGAAAGGAGCAAGGGACAGTGGTCGGGCATCTCGGTAGAAAGTGCTTGTAGCAGACAACTAGGAAACAGAGCATCCCATTCCTCATTAAAGAGAACTCTATCCATCTTGACCATGGTGGCATTTGCCTGCTCGTTGCTCCAAGTATAGCACCGGCCATGTAGGTACAGATCTCGAAGCTGCAACTCATTGATAAAATTTCTAAAAGCAGCCAACAACCTTCTGTTGATGTTCAGGTTATTCTTGTCTGTGGCTCTAGCAATCAAGTTGAAATCCCCTACTAAAATGCAAGGAGCACCGGCAGGCAAACCACTTGACATAGTTAGTTTGAGCTCATCAAGCAGCACTAACTTGGCTTGATCATCTTGTGGACCATAAACATTGATCAGATTGAACTTTGAACCTGACTGAATAAAAGTGCCTTCAGCAGCAATGAAACTAGTAGTAATGATCGGATTACAGAACTTGACCATCGCACTGTCCCAAGCCAGAATCAACCCTCCCCTAGTACCAACTGCAGGTGCGAAGAAAAAAATCAGAGAACCGGCTCCCACAACACTGCTGGACAACACCCAAATCAACGAAATCTAGCTTTGACTCTTGCAAGCAGAGGACAGATACATTGTTGTTGGAAATAACAGAGTGAACAACAGCACGACGTGCGGGGTTATTTAGCCCACGCACG